TTCTCGTTTATATGAGTACCTTCGAATGGATTTCAGAAGACGTCTAGAGCTTCTGACGTCTTGATTTCATTCCATCTACTTATTATCAGAGAGGTCACTTGTAAACTTTCAGATGGCTTGGATCAATTAAATTCTCTCTAAACACATTCCATTCGCTGCATGGCAAATTTCGATGATGCAAGACGGACGCTTTTGCAACTGAGAACTGAGCAGTAGATCGTAATCAGATCGAAAAAGAATTCAATTTGAATTTCCCATTCAAAGCGCCTCTAAGAAAATTTATATCCATCTACGAATCTATCAGAAGAATTCAATCTGATTGAAGTCATTCGAATCGTTGACTTTGCAAAAAAACTCAACCTTATCATTATTTCTTCTGATGGTGGAATATAATCTCGAAAAGTTGAACAAAAACGAAAAATAAAAAAACTTCAACTCATGCAATTGTGCAATTCCATCCGCTGTATGAGTTCTCTTTGGATCACAACCATTAGAATATCTTATTTTCTTTTGGAACATCGTGTTTCTGCAATTTCGAACAGAATCTGACTTTAAGTTTATGCAGTTTAAAAGATTCTGAAGGAATCTAAATTTAGTGCACTCTTATGTTGAATCACGGTTTGCGTACAATTTTTGACTGCGGACTTGGCAGTAATATTATGTACAATTGAATAGAATAAGATTTGATTCAATTGACTTTCTGCGTCATTTCACATTAATTGCATTTGCCATTTTATATTGAGTTAATCAAACTCTTTTCGCGAGATTCAGTGTTAATGCAGTTGAATTCGTTGAATTTTGCAATCGTAAAGCCAGCATCGAAGAAGGCTATCAACCACAACTCTTCATTCGCGTTGTCTTAGTTTCAAACTTTTTGCGTCTTGTCATGAGAATATTTTATCGAAGAGTTTTTGTCGTGCAATATCTCAGTTGATACTTTATTACTCGGTGTCATTAAAACAAACTTAACTCATCATTTATTTAGTATTGAATACTAATGTTTAATGTTTAGCAAATGTTTAAAGAAATATGCACTTGTATCCAATGAAAATTTCATACCTGAACGAGCCTTCACATGTATACATGCGTACACGGTTTCAGTCAATTACGAAACTATCAAATGACACTTTTGGGAGTTTACCGTGTAATTTACATTCACCTGGAAGCACCACTATCAACAAGTAGTATGCTCTTTGACTCGTAGATCAACACGATTCTGGAATGGATTAGCTCATATTTCAGGTTTTGAGCCGTTTCACGAGTCAAATCCGTCACCAAGTGTCATCACTCTTGTGTAGTTATATATCGTCGTTCGACTCGTATAGGCTCAAATTCAAGACTCTAACCTGATTGATGGGATCAAGAAAATAGCGGAAAGTTTGGTAGCGTGTATGGACTGAGTAAAGTGGCCTTTCTTTACTTAACCGATAATAAACTACTTCATGTTGAATGTTAGTATTAGCGAGTGTTGAATGTTCGCACTCCAACGCACTACTTCGTATTCATATTTCATACTAAACGTAACTGAATTGAAGCTGTCTTTTGTGTACTCCAAAAATGTAAATCCTCAACAAATATAACGAAATTTGTTTCGTGAACATTTCTTAAAGTTTATTTCGTTATGAAAAACGAGAAAAGTGCGAATCGAGAAAGTATGTTGCTACAAATGAAGAACGAAATTAGTGGAAATATTCGGAAAATTTCTTTCATTTCTACCGCACCAATGAGTATTCGTTTGTGGTTGTGGAATAAAATTCTGTTTACTTTTCCGCTCTGAAACTTTTACATCGCAAAGTTTTTGCAGCCGAATTCTTTTCTTTCTGTTGGTTTTCTGATGTGTTTTCATCAGTATTTTCTTGTAGCAAAATTTGTCATCATGTGTAGTCGAGTTGTAAATTTGTATTTGTAAAAGTTTTCTGAAAGAACGAACGACGAAGGAATAAAGATAAGAAAGTGATTGGAGCATCTTATCGATAGCTGGAGTGTTAATGTGTGATAAACACCGATAAAGTTTTAACATTTTGTTGATACGTGTTAATAATTTACTGATAACATTATTTAACATGACGATGATAAACGCATTAGAACGCCGTTTAAGCAGAAGTGTGAAATTTTTTTTGAGAAGATTATCTTCATTTGGGCCGTTTTTTTTTTTTTTGGTTTCATATTCAATGTTACAAATATTACACGTGCTGATTGGGCATAAATAAATGTGGGTCTTTTGATGCGTGTATAATTCAAAAAATATAAATCTGATCATTTTACATGAAATTTTAAGGCGAAGGATTGAGAATGCTTAAATTTTTTGCCTTTCAGTGTTGTATTCGTTTTGTAATTCCTATTTTCCTTCGCAACAGTGGTGAATTTATAAATTTATAGGCATTATATCTAATGAAGTTTAGTATCAACAGTATTAGATCAACTGGATGCTTTCAAAATCATGTATGATTTCAAAGCTTGATTGGTTGATTGATTGAATGAGTTTGTTTGAGATCGTATAGCTTGATTAGGGTCTTTCATGTTTCATGTTCATATGCATCTCGTTAAAAACGCATAAGTTTGATCATCAACGTTAAACAAGTTCATTCTAAACTTAAATTTCTTTGAAAGAATTCCATTTTCAGATGATGTGATGGAGCTACGCAATCAATTGAACTAATGGATTTGATGTCTGTACTGTATTTAGTTTCAGCGATTTTATGGCCATATTTTCAACCAGCAAGTGCTATGATAAACTTGTTCATTTCAAAGGCAGAAATGAGTCGAACATTGGGTGCGTTTGACCCATTCTAATGATCACAAGAGCGAGAAACACCGAAAGTGATCGCTTATCGAATTAGATCACCATTAGTCAACTTTTTGAGTAGGCATCCAAATTATGAGATGTAACAGCTTCACGCTTCGTATTAGCTTTATAAAAGCTGTTTTTCCATGATGACTCAAAGTTTTGATAACAGCAAATCTCAATTCTTAGAAAAAAATTGTCTTTGAGGTCAGTTGTGATCATTAGATCCTGGATTTCACAGTCTGATAACTTCGGAATTTAAGTGGGAAATCTATTGCAGGTTTAAGTGCCGAACTGTACTATATTGAAAATGGAGTAATAAATACATATTCAACAAAATTCCCTTATCGAGTCGATACAAACGTCTCACAAGTGATCTTCTCATGGAACACAAAAGTGCTTGATCGAAGAGTGCGTCATGAATCTTCTTCTTTCCATTGCGGGCCCATTTTTCCAGAATTTTTAACCTAACTGCTCCAATTTGACAGCCAACTTGCAAAGTTTTCTCGTGCATTCGTTTTTCATAATAATCAATGAAGCAATCAGATGAATGGATTCACCTGAAAGAAATTTATGCTATCAACAATAAAATCTTATCAGATTCTCATTTGTTAAATCGCTCAGGACATTCAGTTTTTGAATTGTTCCTCAGCTGTTTACCTGAATCAAACATCAACTTAGACATATACTTCATCAGGCTTAGACTTGATAGAAGATGAGTCGGAAACTATAATCAGAACCTTTAACCTACCTCGATTAGATTTCACATCGTTAAATTGTAAGTCGTGACTTCATTAACCATGATTTAAGTGGCATGTTTATGTGATTACAGATTGCTTATACATTACGAGCGATTGCCAGCGACAACGCAGTTCTGCCGGTAGTATTGATACCTCATCGCGGCTATTTACCGACATCCACTGAGGGTTCATATTTTATCATCCTTGCTGATTACTCTTATCATTATTACTCTTGTCACTTTTTTATTTTCTCTTATATTCAATTCATTTCCCTCAACTGTCCTTATTTCTAATATTGCACTCGATTCAGTTCATTTAATTGCATTGCATATGTCCTGAACTCCTCTTATTGTCAGCAACTGAAGACACTTTTCTCTTATGAAATTTCTCCTGACATCAAATAATTTTAGCAAATGTAAACTTTATGAATTTCTCATCAATAATAGCGGTTCAATGAACAACAGCAACGAAAACAGTTCGAATTCACTATCCCTGAAATGCGAATTTGAAAACTGATTAGGGCGTGATAGTATGAATGAAAACCAAACGAAATTTGATAAACACGTAACATTTGATCGATGCGCGTTGAGCAATTTATTTTGTCTTGATTTCGGCACTTTTTCTCAAAAAATCATTTCGAGCGAATCATTATTGCGGTGATTTATTTATGAAAACATTTATCTATTTTTCTTATCTTGGAACGTTGTTTTTTCCGTTCGAATCGAACGTTTTTCAATTTCTTCATCGAAATAAATCTTCAGCATTTTATTTTACTTCTTTTCGTTTCGTTTCAATTCATCATTCAGATGTTACAATTTTTATTGGTTAATCAAACACTGAAAACATTAATCTTTCAATGTTACATTTCGTTAGTTGCTTTTTTCCATTAAAATCTCTCATAGCACTTCCTCGTCTAATATTTTGCTCTTTCTCTCGTTTGAATTCAGTGTCAGTTCAGTGGAAAGCCTTAATTCAACCGATGATGGATTACCTTTAAAACCAAATGAACACCCTCAAAATCACCTTCAAAAAACTTCACATGAGCAGTCTGAATCAATGCAATCACCTGAAATTATTCAGTTGCAGCGTTTATCAATAACAACGAATTTACAGCTCAAATTCATTCTCATTTCTGCAGTTGTTAACGAGAGCTTTTCCGCATCGTTCTGATCGGAATTCACTGAATTGTCGTATCTTCTAAAGTAGAAAAGTGTTGATTTGAAAAATCTGAAATGAAATCGATTCAAAATCAGTAGTTGGGAATAGCATTTTTAGAATTTATGATCGAATATCGTTGTGCCGGGAATAAAGCTGGTCGATTCGATGTTGCGCTTCATTTGAACTTCTCGTGGCCTTCTGAGCAGAACACTACGCATGTGACACTTAAGCAAGAGAAGATTTGTTCGTCACGAGATGGACGTCGTTTGCCAGGTTTGTTCATCATTCTTTACGATCACGGCAAAAATTTCAGCTGGAATAGATAGTAATCATAACAACAATGATATCAACAACAGTAAAAATAAAGCTTATAGCTGCAAATAATAGTTTCAGTGACAGTCATAATACCAATAGTAATAATAAAAACAATAATGACACCAAAACAGTGATTATCATGACAGTATTGCTACATACGGTATTTTTCTCCAGTTATCGGAAACTGTCATTAATTCGTTTCATTGATGAAGTTTCCACTCAGCTCATCAGTTAATCACTGGAATCACAAGTATTATCAAAATGGAGCGAAGTGGCTGCAAGTATTATAAAAGTGCATCGAAGTCAAAGTGCAGTGAAATCACGAGTATTATTAAAGTACAGCGAAGTCACATCGTCATAAGTTCACTTGCTGACTTTCATAAAGTTTTTAATCTCATTACCAAACCCAATAATGCATAATTACATAATAATGCATAATCATTCATCAACAATTACCGTAATCAAAATCAATAAGATACAGAACCATGAAGTCATTATGATGTGTATTCAGATGATCTCTCAAAGAGATCAGTTACCACTCTGATAATCAGTGTATAATCAGCGATGTTGATCCGCTATCATCAATTGATTGTTACACTGCTACTGACCATCAAATAAAATTGACAAGTTTAACTTCCTGGTAGAAATCTGGCGAATACCCTCATTCCTGAAGTAAACCAGAAACAAATAAATGAAACAGACGATTGATTACCCGTAATGTGGTGTTTGTCCTCTGTGAAAGGTAGAAAGGATTCCTATTTGTGTTCAACTTTTCAAATTATCACTAAGGTCTTGTCGTATCTTCTGCTACCGTTGTACTTCTCTCACATTGCTGAAACAAATGGAATCTGCTTCGGTTCATTCTAAATCGTTCCTGTGCATCGAAGGAACTGAGTGAATCGAAATTGAATAAATATTTTGTTGTTGATGGATGAATCGCGTTTCAACTTCAAC